ACGTGCCTTTAGAGGGGATGTAATTCACATGAGGCCCTAGCACACCTAGCAAGGTGTGCCAGGGCACACCTAAGGGGGTGATTGTTTATGGTTTGAATAGTAAAAAAACTAGAATTTTTTAATTATGGTTAAGTTTAAGAAAAAATTGTATGGTTAGTTGTTAGTGGATATATTAAAATAGTATTTAAAATAAAATAGTTAAAGTTGATTTGATGTAAAGTAGGAGAAAAATGATTGGAAGTGATAGTTAGTTAAAATTAGTTAGAATTATGTGAGTGGATGAATAGTAAATTAAAGTTGATGTGATATGTAATAATGATTTGGTGATGTTATTCAATTATATAATAATATTGGAGATAGTGGGGTTGTGTTAAAGTTGAGTTAAATTTGAATTTGAGTAAAAAAAATTACTGTAGGGATGATAAACAATCATGCCCTAAGTACTTGCCGTTTGACAATGCTTATTTTTTTTTTTTGTTTAATGGCATTATTAGCGTTCACAAAAACTATTAAAAATGTTGTGAGTTGCGTTGCTAAATTCGATGTCATTGAAATTATCTGTGACACAAAACTTTTGCATAGGTAATTTTTAATATGTGATGCTTTTATAAATTCATCGCTTTTGTAGAATTCGTGAGGCAAGCCGTACATGATGCTTTTTCAAATGCTCCACTTTTGTGGAATTTGTCTTCTAAAATATGATATTTCAATTTAAAACGATGAATTTTATTAAATAAAATATGATTATTTAAGTGTAGACTTAACGTTATTTTTACATATCAATTGTTATTTTTATGTTCAATATATACATTGCATTTTGTATATGTGATAGCTAATAAGTTATCAATCAAGTTAATTTTTAATGTATAGTTGATGGATAAAAATACTTTATATTTAAGTTGATAAATTAGTTTAAATAAAAGTTTGAATAGTGAAAAGTTATCTAATAAAGTTTATGATATGAGGTTTCATTTTTTCTTTTAAGTCCATTATACCAAATAAGTTCGTAAGCAAATTAAATAAAGCTATAAGTTAATTTATGTAGGTTATACCAAAATAAGTTTATAAGCTAATTAATTATGCTATTAGTTAATTTATGGAGTTTAACAAACATAATCAACTATATAGGAAAAAACTATAAAGGAAAGAAAAAGGTTGAGAAATGGAAGAAATTTAGAAAGCATAAGTTGGTCTCGGGAATATTATTGATAAATGTATTCATATACATATAAAAATATAAATGATATCAGATAATTAATGTTATTATAAATGTAATCAGCTAATTAACATTAATTATTAGTTATGAATAGGGGATTTTCGATGAGGAGGCTGATAATCGGTCTCCATTAAATCTTCTTCACTCAAAATTGAAGAATGCAAAACCTTGTGTCCAACCTTGAGTCGTCGCAAAACCTACATTTGCATAACACAAAACGTAACAAATTAAATCAAGAAAAAAAAAACTATTTAAATAAAAAAAAAAAGAAATGCTACGGTCCCGTTACGGTACCTTCCCGTTGGGTGTTTTAACCGTTGAATCATTTATCTTATCAAACTACGTGTGGATCCAACGGTTAAAATATTCGACGGGATGGTACCGTAACAAGACCGTAACATTCCACATGGTTATAGTTTTATATTTTTTTATTAAAAATCAATGAACAAGAAAAAAAAAAGGTCAGGTCATTTCAAATGTTGTCCTTTATCTTACTTCCAGTTTTGTGTTAGAAATATTACATGTTTGGTCCTGCACCATAATTGCATGGCTGGTACATAACCTTTACTGGCCTTTCCTAAAATAGAGAGGTTGGGACACTTCCTTCACCTTATCTTATCTTTTTTTTGAATGTTGAACACCATTTTGAAACATAAAATCATTTCCCCTAATGCAGCACACATCATGTTATTTATTTATTTGAGTAAGTAACGAGGCGAGGCGAGGCGAGGCGAGGCAATACAAGACAAGACAGGACAACAAAAATAAAATGACATGAAATTTCATATACCATATAACACATATGAATAATTATTGAATTATATTACCAATTATGGCACTCAATAAATTATAAAATAATATGAAATTAAAATACATATAACTATACCACATAACAATATTTCAGGCTTTTACCTCTGTTTCTGTTGCATTATGCAGGGCCTTGCCATTGGTGGTTACACCATTTTGATTACCTGCATTTCTTATCACCATAAACTTAGTATCAATTTATGAAAACAAAAATGTTTAGATATAAAAATAAATACTTTAATTTTTGCATATATATTTTCTTAAATCATTCGGTCTTAAACCCTAGGGTTTACCCGAAAAATCGCCCACGAAAGGGTGAAAGAAGAAATTACCAACGGATATTAACGACGCAAATATGAACGAACAAACTCAATAGGAAAAATGATTAGGTTTTAATTGAAATCTAAACCTGGTTTATTATGTGCTACCTCCAAGCTGCCATTGTTTTTCTTGCAAACTGAACACAACCGATCTTCCTTTGATTTTGACGTGATGACCGGCCTCATGCTAGCGATGATCCTGCTACAATCACTTGTACCCTTCGAATTCGAGCCGAAATTCACGTTAACTCCATGATTCTCCTCTTTAAGATGTCGAGAACTAGTTGCATGCGCGAAAAAGAACGTAATCAAGATTAATAAAGATGATTTGGAAGGCATAATATCGATGATAATACGGCAAAGGAGATGATAGTATAAATAATTATTTCTATAGAGAGATGCAGTAAAACATAAGAAATTTTTGAGTTTTGATACTATTGATTATATATATAGGTGAAGGTGAGCGTACTGATTTCTGAGAGTAATCTATGTCTCCTTCTATATATATATATAATATAGAGAGAGAGAGTAGTCACTAAGAGAGAAATCAGATTAGATTCACACATTGGAAATATTAAATTCCAACTGAATAAAACAAGGCCGTAGCGAAAAAAATAAATACATAAATTCAATTGGGACGACTGATGAAAACGTGTGGCTGTTATTTATTTGTTAAAATAATTAGATTCAACTTGTTAATTAAGCTCGAGCTCGACTGCTTATATATTAAAACGATGAAACTTGAAACATCTAATCGAGTTTGTCCATCAAACAAATCGAGTCCAACGACATCACAATCAGTCAGTTTAGATTTTTTTTTTCTTTTTTTTTTTTGTGGTTTACTAAATGAATCGAACAAAGTTTATATGAGCTGAACTCAATCTCACATTTTTGTTTGTCTATTAAACAAGCTGAGGCACACCATCTTGTTTATTAAATAAATTTTGAACATGAAGTACTCGATCGGCTCAAATTACCTCATGTATATAGAAGTCAATGTATGAAAATAAATTTTAAGTATTTAATATAAATTACATTATTGCATAATTAATAATATTAAAATCAATGTGAATTGATAAAATAAAAATATCTATATATTCTAGTTTTGTTTTATCCGTAGATGACCATAACTAAAACTTGTAAATTAGTAACTACTATTTTATACAAACGATAAATGATCATTTGTAACGGATTTATTATTTTTCTTCAAAAATTACACAAAATAATTACCTTTTATACTTGAATTTAATTGGAGAAACAACTTAATTTATTAAAAAGACTACAATGTGATAGTGTAATAGTTTGTCATTCTTGCTACTAGTATTTGATTATGTGTACATTCACACATGCAAACAAAATTTTATATGTTATATATGTGTGTTTGTAATAAATAAAATTATAAGTTAGATAATCATGCGCATATCATATATTATATATTTTATATAAAATTAATGATATGCATATATACATTATTCAACTTACATATTAATTTTTAACTGATTACAATAATATAATTTTTACAATCGTGGTTGATTATGACTAATTAATTAAATAGAATAATATTAAAAAATTCTGTACGAAAGTTTAAGGGGTTTGGTTATGCCATAAAAAATAAATAATTTTAATAAAAAAATTGTTTAATGAACTAAAAAAGAAATACTAGTTTAAATAAATAATTAAAAAAATTAAGAATAGAATATCATTTAATGTGACTTTAATATTAGTTAGTCGTGACTATTATAAATAAATAAATAAATAAAAGTATAATTACCTTATTAAAGAAAAACAAATTAAGGTACAAATCAATTACCTATTCTCGTTTTTAGTTTGTCAAATGAAGAATTTCACATTATAAGATGTGCAGCAATTTTGTTGGACAATGTAAATTTCTACAAAAAAAAAAAA